CAATAAGATGACTCGGTCTGTGCTGAACTATTATTCGTTTCGAAGAGCGACACTTTCTATATAAAATTCGTATATAATAATACAAGTACAAGTGTTTATCGCATGTCTCTATACCAGATCATGTTGACGTTGAGCATAGAGTGCTCCATGTTCTCGTAGTCCCTCTTGAAAGAGTGTCTGAAGTGGCTGTCAATAGCTTCTTGCTTGAATCTTATATGAGTTTCTTATAAAATAAACCTGTATCCCAGATTGAGGTGCTCTTATAAGTCATTTAATTTTGACTCCCTAACATTTCTTTTAGAGTGGATTCGTAATTGAATAGTTACCTTGTATAAGGATTTTTTTTATGCGTGTTTTACTATATGTAGTATCTACACAAATATTAATTAATATTCATATTAATTAATAATAATTATCGTACAAATTATCATGATATTGATGAAGTATAGTAGAACCAACAGTAAACTTAGAAAATCATTAAAAATTTATTAAAATTCTTGATTTATTTCTCTTGCAAAAACAACTCAAACCAAGAAACGCATTTAACAAATCACAAGTTCTTCTGCTCCACAAAGATTATATGACACTGTCTGTATGTATATTTAATGTATGTATGTCAGCACAGGGCCAACTACATAGAGTGGAGGTATTTCATCTGTTGCTCAGCTGAAAAAGAAGAGGAAAAATTAAATGCCCACTAAGCTGGTAGGGCATTAAAAGGTAATAATCGCAACCTGTGGACGTCGATGCTGTCGCTGCAACGTCGACGACGACGACGACGACGACGACGGCGATGGCAAGTTAAGCCTGGCAACGGCAACGGCAACAAAAATGATATAAAATGAAAATGAAAACTAAGCTGTCACTGATTGAGTGCAATGAAGCGTATGAAATAACAATTTATTTTTTAAGAGCTGAGAAAAAAGCTTGTGGCAAAGGCCAGCGCAGCAGCAGCAGCAGCAACGACAACAAAATACTATATGAAATAGTCATAAAACTATAAAGGAAAAGGCAACCAGCAAAGGCATTCGCACACACACACACACGCACATACTTATACAGACCACATATATCCTGATTTACGAATGGAAAATTCATTTCAACGCCTAAGTGCCGCCGTCAAAACGTGTGCCGCACATGAATTTCCAACAATGCGTATTATGATATATACACATACATATATACATATATATGACTTGATTTTGATGTGCTTGATACATATATGTATGTGTATATGCGTGTGTGTGTGTGTTGGCAACAATAAAAGCCCTGGAAAGCATGTCCTGCCCCATGCTTAGTCACTCGCTGTCAGATTGCGGCAAAGGAGGTAAAGGAGCCCAAATGCGATTATGACTGCCAGATTTAGTTGTCATACAAAAGCACTTAGCTTTGAAATTGTTTTGAATGATGGCGTTGCCAGCGAAGATCACAAGTCTAAGCATATGTATCAACTTATGCCCTCGCTCCGACTCTCTTCCTCTGCCTCTCTCTTGCTCCTTCTCCTTCTATATGCCTTGGACTCTGGGTAATTTCGTCTAGGAAGTACGCACTTAGCACCCCAACCACCAGGCACACGCCCAAGCCGAGAGTAGCCCACATTTAATGGCAGCACTTCGCACGCATTTTCCCAGCACTTGTCAAAGTGTTAACAAGGCCAAGTCACTTGTTATGCGGCAGCTGAGCAGCTCGAGTGAGTTCCTTGCCGCTCAATGATGTGTAAAGCCTTATAAATGATTTTGTGGCATTGTTCAGCCGTTAAACTGTATGTGTGTGTGTGTGTGAGTGTGTCGCTAATTGGCCAAAGGGACAGCCGTTGGCAGTTGTTGCTGTTAAGTGAACTCTCGCCCAGATAAAATGATTTGAGTTAGTCGTCCAGCACTTACCACCGCCATTTTTGTAGCACAAATAGGGAAATCTCCAGACGTTTGCTAAATCGACGGCGAATCCAATAACCGATAATAAAAAATCCACCTTGCCGCTCCATGTTTCACGCTGATCGTTATTGCTATTGTTATCGTTGTCGTGTGGCGTGGGCGTCTTTGCTATTTGTCCGGTCGGTGACATCGCCGTTGCGACGATGTCCTAATCCCTGGCCAAAACGTCGTCGTCGTTTTAGTTTAGCCCTCGCCGTCGCCGTCGCCCGCCAGCTCTAAAACACAAAGAGAGATAGAGACAGAGAGAGAGAGAGAGAGGGAGAGAATAATAAATGCATTTGGTAAAATTAGCTGGATTACATATTAATTGCAAATGCTAGATTAAACCTCAATCATGGCTTTCACCTTTTGCCACATATTGAAAATATGTTTCGCATGTTTGTGGCATACGACAATTTCGATGCGCTGCTTGAGTGTTTAAGCCGACACTTGATGCTCAATTGAGCTCAGAGTGTCTCTCTGTATGTGTGTGTGTGTGTGTGTGTGTGTTGGTGAAATGTCCATAGCACTTGAATTCTGTTTGGCCACGACATGCTCTCTAGCCCGAGCTTCAAGTGCTTGTTCGTATATTACGCATACGACGTGTGGCCGCCGCACACACAAACACTTGACAATTACAGCACAAAACCAAACGATTCGCACATAAAGCATCGCTTGGCCCATCGACAAATCTCAGTTTACTCTCATTGTGCTCAAGCATGTTACACACCATATTTGATCTATATATAAACGCATGGATACATGTGTGTTGTTCTCTTTCAACTCTTAGCATAATTAATTGCTCCAATTAAATGTTCGCGCATTAGCTTAATTTAATGCCGAGAGCTGAGCTCAATTGAAAGCGAGCAAGTCGCACGATTCAATTAAAAGAATTACCACGGCTGGAGCTTTGAAGATCTCTAAATCTCAGTTGCTGCTGTTTCTTTCTAAGAGTTGAAGACAAGTCAAGATTTACTTCGATGTAATTCTTGACCCGCTTAGATATCATAAAACAATTTTATTTCAATTACACAAAATTATTTTATAATTGAAATTTGTGAGATTTATTGTAAACTATGTTAAATAGAATAGTAACAAATATAAATTAAAATAAATATTATTTTTTCGTTTCTAAAAATAAATGCAAAAATAATAAGATTTCTCCAATTTCCTGGTTTAAGTCTACATTGTATAACCCAGCCATTAAAATCATTCTTCGCACATAATATTAACAGATAATAATGATGCTTGATAAATATGTAATAGGTTTCTTCATCAATTTAATAAAATGAATTATAAGTTGTTGGCACCTTTATAAGTCTTACAAGTTTTCTTACACGTCAATACATGACTGCACAAAATATATTTAATTTATTGTATTTTTTTCTGTTCAACAATTTGTATTTATAAATATGCGTTTCATTTGCAAATAATTTTAAACACTGAAATAACGCTTGGTAATGGTGAAATTTTAGTAAATATATTTTTTGCTGCTGTTAATAAATCATTTTGAAAGAATCTGATAAATTTTTGGGTTTTATTTTAAGATAATATAAAATTTTTAATAAAATGTGATTGCTTGTTTTGCAATTTTAATTACTATTTATATAAAACTACAAAAATGTTGCTAGAAAATAAATTATCAGTGCCTGAATGAGTATATAAAATGAATCTTATTTATAATCTTATTTAAATTATAGATTAATATGACAATCATAAATATATGTAAACTTACACAAGTATATATAAATTATTAGATTTGAGCATAGAAAAATAATTGTGAGTCTGTAAATGCATGAATCTTAAATGTTTTATGGGTCATTCGCTTTGTTTAATTATATATTCATAAATTCGCCAATGTTCAGTACATTTTTGTGATATTTAGCATTTCTTTTGTCAAAAACTTTAATACACCAAAATTTATCTATCAAAATTAATTACAGGTTTTACCTTAAGCACGCCAAATTCATACATACCTGCTTGTTTCCAAATGCTTAAATCACACACTTTTGCCAATCCATATTTTTCAACAATTCTCAAATTCACAAAGAAACTATGCAGAAAATGTTAATGAAAAGCGTCAAAAAATATCGAACTCTCTACACTTGACTCTTTAATAACCACACATATTTTTGCACTGTCCGTAGAACTGCTAACCTATTTAATGTAGCTCACTGAACTAGGAATTGGGCAACAGCAGCTGAATCAGTTGTTGCGCTAACGGTAACATTCAAACGTATGCAGGCAAGTGCTCGATGCCAGTGACTTTTATAGCCTGCGACAAGTGGTTGGCTGCACCTGCACCCTCCCCACACTCACACAGCCACACACACATAGAGCTACAAGTGTATGTGTGTGTGTGTGTGCGTGTCAAACGCAGCAACTGCTGAAGTTGAACGTCGCATGCGCCAAGGAAACGTCTTCAAAACGGAAGTGACCAATTAGAGTTGCCTTTGTGCGTATGTACGCAGCTATATGTATATGTGTGCATGTACGTGTGTGAGTGTGTATATGAAGCTTATATGTGCTACATATTTACATATACTGTGAGCTTAACATGCTGTATGTTAGCCGTGAAGCTTGTGCCCGCCAGATGCTGAGCTTTTTAACAGTGCTCTGTTAAGCAGCTCTTTTGCAGTGCTCTGCCACTGTTAACTAACAGAAATTGCATTAGAATGAAATGTTTTGAATTAATTAGCATTATTTTAATAGCTCGGCATGACTATAAAGGCTTTTCTGTTTTTACAGAGAAATAATGTAAATAAATAAACAGATTATAAATATTGACAAAAGCAAACACAAATATTTGTCTATCTATGTATGTGCAACATTTACGATTTGATCAAAAGTCGTGAAAGATCGTCGATCAGCGATCAACACATACATATGTATATACATGAGCAGCAATAAATGCGGCATGAGAACTACTAATAATGCTTTGCTCTCGCAAAGCTCAAGAATGTTTCGAAAAAAACTGAAAATTATTTCGAAAATGCTCACACGCCTAGAATTCAAGTGAAAACGGCGTAAACAAAATGTCTTTTTTTAAACATTTTCAATACATTTTGCTGGCCAGCGACAAAAGCCGCGAGAGTCGCGACTCGGAGAGCAGTTGGCAACGGGTTTTCATCGAATGCGGCCACGGAAAATGCAGAACTGAAAAGAAAGACTACCAAAGAAAGCAAAAGAAAACGCATTGTGATCCGTGCAACGAACTTACTCAATAAAAAGATCAAGAGAGAAGAAAACTTCATCAATTTCAAATGAAGTTCCAAATAACAGTTAATCAATGATGATCTAGTGAATGAAATGCTTAACAAATGATATAGATTCATGTATATTTATGCATATGTATGTGTGTTTTGCTGAACTGTCGGTTTATGTTATTTTATATAAGAGCCAACGAGCATTATTTTTAATTTCGCTGTTGATAATATGCAAATGTGTAGGCAAAAGAATAGAAAAGAAACGAGACGAATTTCACAAAAACCAAAATCCTAGGCAACTAAACAAAATACATTTCTATTTGCAACGGTAAGAGACCGAGCTGAGTGTGTGTGAGTGCATGTGTGCGTGTGTGTTCGTGTAGACGGTTCAATTAAATATTTGTTTGACAACAACTACAACAACAATAGCAAATACAACAACAATAGCACAACAGCTAAAACTATATATACATCAGCAACGAAATAACATTGAACTTAAGCCGATTGGCAGCTAATGTGAGCTACAAGTGTACTATATATAGTATACATAGCTTTAAGTAAATATATTGTTAAGTGTAATTAATTAATAAAAAATGCAACATTGGCGCCGATTTTCCAGGAAGTGCCGAACAGCCAAAGCATCGCCAGAAATTTATCTTCTGCATTTTTTTAAACACGCTCAGCCCATGCACAAAGATACAAATAGGCCGACAAAGATATATATATGTATATGAATTTATGTATATATATATATATATATGTATATTTGGGCTGGTCTATATGTACTCTGATTGCCTTTGTGCAGCCGCTATAAATATTTACAACGCGCTGCTGCGGCTGTTAATACGGAAAACCAAAAGCGCACCAAACAAATAAAAGCAAATTTAACTCGAGCATCGTTTCTCTATTTTGTTGTCTAGTGTATGTCTGCTATACAAGTGTAAGCAAAAACTAATGGTCCACTAACTACATATATCCGACCGGGACACTCCAAAAACATTCGCAATACAATAACCAATACAACCCATGTGAACGAACTGCAGTCACAATGTCGAAGAGACCACGAGGGCATATACACAAAATTCGTGAATTCGAACTGGAAAAGGTAATGTGCGAACACACTAGACTATCACAATCTATTGCCAAATTCGTTGTAAATGTTTAAAATGTGCTCGCCCAATATTTCCAAATGAAATTATGCAGAAACAAGCCCCCCACAAAGGCAAAATATATTTATGAGGTAGTTAAAAGCAGCTGGAGAGTCATCGAAATGCGATTTTTCTTAATGTCTGATTTTTTAATATTTGTTCTTATAAGTATATGTATTAAATAATATATTAAATGACAATGGAATGCCTTTGTGCTAAAATTCTAATTAAATGCTTATTTTATATTTAAATACATACAAGCTTAAACAGATAATCGTATAGAACACTATATTACTATATATTATATTCTATATTCTATAAATAATACCTTCTATATATTTTAATTTAAGATTTTGGAAAAAATTTGCTGGATATTGAATAAATAATAAATAAATAGTTATTAATCAAAACTCTATTACTATATAATAGTTAAGCTTAGATTAATATAATAATTATTATCTATATGTTTCTCATCATCTATTAACCATTTACTTAGTTTCTACGCAAAGCTTAAGAGTTGAACCCAACTTCATGATAGTTTTCATAGATATATTTTACTGTCCAATTAGCTCAGATTGTTGTGATACATATGTATTATATAGCTATCCCATATCCAAGAGTTTCTCAGCTATAAGTGGATATATTATTTATATTTTATTTATATATACAAATATTAAGTAAAGTCTGATTAATATTTCATATCTATAGCATCGATTTGCTTAGGAGAATCGTTCAGCTTTGTTAATTATAGAATTGTTTAACTTAAGAGATTTAGTATGAATACCTTGATTCTTTTTAGAAATAGCTCTAATCCCTGAAAAAAAAATAAAAAAATAAAATATACACTATATATAAATTAAAAAAATATAAATATATATATGAAATCTTTATAAAAATATTTAAGGACAACATTCCTGCTTGTTATCAATCTGTTAAATATAATAATACATAATAAACATTAAACAATATCTCGTTTAGAATTTAATTTAACTAAACACATACATATAGAATTTCAATATATTTATATATACATACCTATACATATTCAGCATATATGCCATAGAATCTATTCTATACATATTGTCTACCATTGTGCGTCTGAGCTTCCTTATGCTTTCATTAATCTGCAATAAAATTGCGTAAAACAAAGTATGAGAAGCGTAATAATCAGACGGAAAGATTGATAAATGAATAACCAGACAGGCCAACATATAAATGTATTGACTCAATCCGTTGGCCAAAGAGAAACATTTTGCATTCGCAGTAATTCATATAATACAAAATATTTTGAATACGCTTGAATGGGATTTGAAAACGAATGAATAAAAATATAATAGAATTTCTCTTTATTATTTTGGACACGTGTTTTGGCTTATGTTTTATTTTCTTGCACACAATTGTTGATAATTATTTGAAATTGCAAATAATTAAACTTATATTAGATTTTTATTTGTTTTCATTTATGATTTGCATTTTGACATACTTTTTTTTTTTTAGTTCTATATTTATTTTTATTGAAAGATTTATTTCCACACAAATTGAATTGTCCTATATAGGGCATTCGAGCTTCGGTTAGGCTATAAATTGTGAATTTTGTTTCGATTGGCAGATGGCCAGAAATCTCTTCGCTCAGCTAATAGTTAACGCGGCCCGAGCCAGAAGGCAAAGTAGAGGAAAACGAACTCATTTTATTGGGCAGCAAACGGCGAATGTCAAAAATAGAGTAACATTAAATATGTCTGGTCTCACGACTGCGATATATGTATGTATGCATGTTTATATATATGTATATACAATATATATGTATATATTGGGCAATTATCGAACCGTGTCATGGATGTGCAGTTATTGTAGTATTTGGGGCAGGTACTAAACATCTGTTATAACCCAAAGCACATGCAAACAAAGCAGCAAAGCAAGGCAAAATAAACTAATTTCTTAAAATTTTTGGCTGCACTCAATAGATCCAACTGGTGGATGAATTCGATATCATTCAAATTGTGGGCGAGGGCTGGTTTGGCAAAATACTGCTGGTGGAACATCGCGGATCTCAGACTGAAATGGTGCTCAAGGCAGTTCCCAAACCGTATGTCACCTTGCGCGACTTCTATCGCGAGTTTCACTACGGACTCCACCTGGGCGTCCATCGGCACATTGTGACCACGTACGACGTGGCCTTTGAGACGGCTGGCTTCTACGTCTTCACCCAGGAGTATGCACCACTGGGTATGCATGCAACTAACCCGCTTGCTAAGCTGTATTTACAGGGTATTTTCAATTTGCTCTGCAGGTGATCTGACTTCAAATGTGACCGAGACAGGTGTGGGCGAGGTGTACAGCAAGCGCATTGCTAAACAATTGGCCTCCGCCATAGATTACATGCATTCAAAGTAAGTATATATCCCGATGTATGAATTCCTTTTAAACTATATATGTATATGCATATTTAATTCACTATAAGTGCTAAGCCTAGTATATTAGCAGTTATATGGAATTAAATATGCGTGTATTGTTAAAAAACAAAAAAAATCCTATTGCCAGCTAAATGCCTTTAATAATTAAATTTATAATATAAAGCCATCTTTTTATTGACTTAATAATTATTTTATTTTTATGTAAATTTTAACGTAAACTTTAAATTCTAAAATAATATGAATATAGAAATACTATATTTATATTATTAATAAAAACTGTCTGTCTGTATGTTTATATATCTGTCTGTATGTCGGTAGGTCTGTCTGTCCATCTCTCTGTCTGTCATTCTGTATGGCTGTCTGTATGCCTGTCTGTATAGCTGCCTTTTTGTCTGTCTCTCTGTATGTTTGTATGTCTGTCTGGCTGTCTGTGTGATCGAGCAATTCATATTGAGTATTTAACATCATCACGTATCAAACATGCACTCCCATAGAGAAAATGAGAAGAGCACGAGAACTGACCAGGTAGAGTATGCATGTGTCTGTGAGGCAGCATTTAATGCTAGTATAGAGTTAGTATAGAGTACACTCGAATGCTCGTAGCAGTAAGAGCTCCTCTGATTGGTCACCTGACTGAGTGTTCGGGCTCGGGTGTAAAAACGAACTCACAGCAGGCTCCAAGTCTGATCTTGGCTACTCTCTCATATATATAAAGGGAGTCAGCTGCAGCATTTCTTCAGTGGCATTCTGGAGCGCTTAGAGGTCGGTTCTTCACAGCATTGCTCCGCTTCTTCTTTTTCGGTGGATGGTGTATATTTATTATCAAATAAATATATTATTAATTATTAATACTATAATAAGCAGAAGTGTATTAATTAGTTATAGCTCTAAGCTATTGTTACTAGTTATATTTACGATGTTTAAAATTGATTTGTTTTTAATTTAATCATAACTAATGTTTAATCATTTGAAAGAACTATGTAGTGCTTATAAGTGATAAGAGCGTCATGCGAAGTTGGATTAGTAGGCGCTCTTCCTGTTCTCTCCTATGGTCCTCATCACTCTTCCTGAGCCTCTCGGGTATTCCTGCTATCTTCACTATTCCTGCACCTCTCTCCCGAGTGCTCACTCTCTTGTGCTATACGCGCATTCTTGTACTCCTCGCTCCTCTGTGCTGGTCACTCTGCGTATGCTTCTCACGTATTCCCAGACTTATCTCTCTTCCTAGACTCCTCGCTCCTCACGTATTCTTGTTCTCGAGTGACTCTCGCTATTCGTCCTCATGTATTTCTTTGCTCTTTTCTCTTATTATACCAATGAAAATCCTCTCTCTTTCTCTTTTTACAGAGACATTGTGCATCGCGACATTAAACTTGATAATGTACTCATATATCGCTCGGACTTTCAACGCGTGAAGCTCTGTGATTTCGGGGAGTCCTATCAAACTGGTACCGTAGTGGAAAGGCGCAACGAATGGCTGCCCTACAGTCCCCCAGAAGTATTAGAAGTCAAGCCCGAAGGCACCTACAAGTAAGTTACATCAGGAAGAAAATTCTATAGGCTATACTAATTAATAATATATTTCTATTTGCATTCTAGGGCCGATCCCAGTCACGATGTCTGGCAGTTCGGCATCGTTATATTCGTCTGCCTGACGGGCTGTCTGCCCTGGCAAAAGGCATCCTCAGAGGATCCACGCTATGTGCGCTATCTGGTGTGGCAGGGCAGCATAATGATGATGCCGCTGCGGCGAACACCCAAACTTTTTAAGGTAATCCACAGGAATTTGAGATTACTAATTACTCTCTTAACATTTATTTATCCTTTCTCTTCTTCTAGCTGCTGACATCACGTGCGCAGCGCATGTTTAAACGTTTCCTGGAGCCACGCAGCGCGAACAGACCAAAGAGCTTGGGCGATTTGACCAAGTTCATGGACGATCGCTGGCTGGCCAAGACGGCGGAGAAGGAGATGGCCGAGTATGAGACAGACGAGCTATGCCCCTCAATGTATTCCTTTCACAGCAGTCCCGACGAGAAGAATCGCCTGCTCTACACACTGGCTGACTGTGGCATCGAGACCAATGTCGATCGAATGCAGAAAAAGAATCGCATAAAAGACTGGATAGAGTCGTCCATTATCACAGAGGAGGATGAGGTAAGTGCCCACCATCGATGATCCTTGCATGCACACATTGATTGTCTTGTCTATGGCAGGAGGAGAACGAGGAGACCAATTCGGCATCACCATCTTCGTCAGTTTCGCGTGAGCCTGTGCCCGGTCACATCTCCTCCATACGCCAGCCCCAGCAGCCGGACAAGCCCAAGGAAATCAAAAGCACACTGAAAGATGCCACACAGAAGCACTTCGATCCACGCACGGGCGCACTGCAGCAGGGACCCAGCGAAATGGGCATGGCCATGCACTCGTCCAAGTCCATTAACCTAGCCTCGACATCGACGCTCAACAATGCGGACAGCATGCTGACCCTGGGCTCCAGGCAGGACTTGCTGGCCAGCAATCTGACCATTTACAACTCTATGGAAATGGAGCTGAACCGCCTAGGTAAGGGTCAGCCAGCACTTCTCCAAGTCGACGGCTTTCTAAACCAGTCACAGAGCAGCAGCCTACTAACCTCGCTCGATGAGCCGCACGTTGTGCACGCCTCCACTCCTGCTAAGAACTCCATTGGCGTCGGCACCCGAGCGTCCACCAAGAGTATTCTACAGCGCTCCAAATCCGACTCGCTGCAAACGGTCATGTATGCCAGCATGCCGGCCATTGACAACGCCAACTCCTACACCGCTTTTAACAACAATAACCAGAGCCTGCCGCCCCTGCAGCCGCTGCAGAGCAGCCAGGTGCCCAATGGCAGCGCCTTCTTCATGGGGGGCAATAGCAATATTGGTAACAAAACTAATCAGAGCAAGACGGTGACCTTTACGGGTTTGACTAATGCCTTCCAATCGCTTGCGCAACTCCCAGTGCTGTCTAATCCAGTTGCACCTGCAGCTGTGCCTCCTGCAATGCAATCGAATTATTTTAATCGCTTCCACAATGATTCTCAAGTCAAAGACAGCGCATACGGATCGGCCGACGTGAACGACACTCTGAAACCAAGTTATCTCCAGGCCAGCAGTAATCCGCAACGGCAGATGGTATACAATGGGGCACGTGAATCGAACTCGAATATGAAGGACACGGCCTACGACCGTGTGGTGGTCACCAACAGCAACAGCGCGCGAAAGCGAAGATAGCTTCAGCTACACATAAATCCATACATTATATATACAATTTTCAAGTTCCAATAAATATTAAACGTAAATTTGTTAACACACTCCTGTTTACTCTCTCTCTGGGGCATAGGTGATGGCAATGGTAATTGAAAGGCGACATTACGTTCTTAAAAAATTACGTTTCCTTTATTACGCGTAAAAATCCAAAAACCAGCCCCAGGCCACACAAGCAGCCGAAGACTCTGCTGCAGACGAATCGCCGCTTACTTGAGGGGAATAAAACGTGAGCTGTGGGTGGCACCAATACCGGGACGACCGTGCTTAACGGGCTTGTAGGTCAACGCGAATTCACCCAAGTAGTGGCCAATCATTTCTGGCTTAACTTCGACCTGATTTAAATGAAAATTATTAGATATCTGACTCAGTTGGAAATCTTAAAGCCCTGACTCACCTGGCCGAAGTCTTTGCCGTTGTAAACGCCAATGATGGAGCCGGTCATCTCGGGCACAATGATCATGTTCCTCAGATGAGTCTTCACGATCTCTGGTTTCTCATTTGGGGGAGCCTCCTTCTTGGCCTTGCGCAGCTTCTTGATCAGGGCCATTGGCTTGCGCTTCAGACCGCGGGAGAAACGCCTGCGGGCGCGGCTGTGCATCAGCTCCACCAGCTGGTTGCTGCACACGAACGGGACAGAATAAACAGTTAGGTTAGTTTTGAGACGCCGCTTGATGCCGAATACTGTTACTTACTTGGGCATATCCAACAGCTGGTCCAAGTCCACACCACGGTAGGTGAACTTCTTGAAGGTACGCTTCTTCTTAAGAGTTTCATCAACTTGCTGTTTGTGTCAAAATAAAAAGAAAAACAATTGGCATTTATTAGCACAGTTTTTTGCTGTCAATTTTGCGCACAATGTATTACTCAAAACTCTAAAATAATATTGTCAACCATGCGCAGCGAGTCAGATATTGTAAATATTATAAACTTTTGCTATTCTGCACACGGATGTTTAATATTTTTTTAGATTTTTGCACAAAAATTACATCGGCCATCTTGACGATTGCAGTCTACGGAACGGAAAGAAACATGCCGAGCAGCGTTGCCACCAAACTGAAAATATTGGAGATGCCAGAGTTTTGTTTCACCATTCCTTCTGGTCACATTGCCATACACCAGAGATGCGCTCAATTATTCTTATTCTATTATAACTAAAATTGTAGAATTAAGCGTGTAAAATAATTGAAATCTCTTAACAAATTATTTACAATAATCAAATACCTCACTATAGTATTTCAACTTAAGTTTAATTAATAGAATTATAAATATGTGGTAAGAAAGTAACAAATACTTTTGAAATTGGTTTCGCTATTAACGTTACTCGTATAAAATCATATCGTCACGCTCACATCCACAACAGTATCAGCTGTGCAGAATTGGACGAGCAGAAACCCAAACAATGCTGACGTTACCAATATTATGTTTTAAAAGACAGCCGAGTACCACAAACGTAAAATGTGCACAATTGCGCAGCGAAATTTTCAAATGAAATAGTATTAAATGCGTTTCGTCACACTATTCACTATAACCAGCCAAATTCAAACACCAGCAGCCTTCGATTTCAACAATTTGTTTCTGCTTGAACAACTGGCGCCTTCTTTTGCTTGTGATAACAATCGGCCCCCAGGTATGTAAGTGTGTTTGCCCCAGCGCTGCGTTGTGTGAAGCTATCTCTTTGTTTCTATTGTTTTGCCTACGCACACAGATACCTGGTTTCGCAGCTAACAAAAAAAATTAGCTGTTCTACTTATTTAGCAACTTCGCTCAGCTCATTAGCAAACCAACCGAGGTGAAAGCGAATTGCATCATGTTCTCGCATTCGGGCTATGTTATGACGCTTGCGAATAGCATAATAGGTGTCGGCATCTTGGCGATGCCTTTCTGCTTCCAGAAATGCGGAATTATCTTGTCAATTGTATTGCTCATACTCAGCAATTGGATAACGCGCATCTGCTGTCACTATCTGATTAAAACTTCATTGCTGACACGTCGCAAAAGCTTTGAAATGCTTGGTCTTCACGCTTTCGGCACATCCGGCAAACTTCTGGCGGAACTCTGCATCATCGGTTATCTGATTGGCACGTGCATAACGTACTTTGTCGTCGTTGGCGATCTGGGACCACAGATTGTGGCCAAGCTCTTAGGATTGGAGATCACAGAGTACCAACATCTACGCACCTTGGTCATGTTCGCTATCACCGTCCTGTGCATTGTGCCGCTGGGCATGCTGCGCAATGTGGACAGCTTGTCGGCTGTCTGTACTGCCTCCATTGGATTCTATGTGTGCCTCATGCTCAAGATTGTGCTCGAGTCCGAGTCGCACATTGTGGCCAACGATTGGACAGAGAAAGTCGTCTACTGGGAGCCAGCAGGTGTGCTCCAATGCCTGCCTATCTTTAGCATGGCCTTGGCCTGCCAAATGTAATTATATTTTGATATCAGCTTGAATTCTATTTTTAATGAAACTCACTTTAATTGCAGGCAACTTTTTGAGGTCTTCGGCAGTATCAATAACCAAAGTCTGGACAAATTGAATGGCATTGTGCGCAATGCGACGTGGATTTGCACACTGGTGTACATAGCTGTCGGCTTCTTTGGCTATGTGGCTTTCTGCACGCATAGCTTCTCAGGTATATTCTTTATATTTATAGTATATATACTATATACTATACACTTTATCGATTGCAGGTAACATCTTGGTAAATCTGTCGCCTTCATTCGGCAGCGATATTATCAAAATTGGATTCGTGCTTTCTATTGCATTCAGCTTTCCACTGGTCATATTTCCATGCAGAGCCAGCATCTACTCCTTGCTATATAAAAAGGTGAGGTGCATATATATGAATACCCCAAATACTTAATATATATTACTATCCATACAGGGTCACATGGAGAGCAGTAATTATATACCAGAGCAGCGCTTCCGAGTTATAACACTCTTCATCGTCTTCTTCTCGCTTTGTGTGGCGCTCATTATTCCCTCTGTTGAGCTCATTATTGGCTTAGTCGGCTCCACAATAGGCGTTGCCATATGCATAATGTTCCCCGCGTCGAGCTTTCGCCAGATCATTAGAAAAGACTCCACGGAACGAACGTTGGCACAGTTTGTGTTCGTCAGCGGGTTTTGCCTGATGATTCTGGGCACGTATGCCAACCTGCACGCCATCGATGCCCAGAGCTCTGGTCCCCAGTTTGATGCAGTGCAAGTGGTCACACCATTGTTAACCAACGAAATCCCACCACCCGTCGAGGTTCCCAATATACAAAACTCAGAAGTAATCAAACGCTTAGTGAAAACCAACGAGGCTGAAGTCAAAGAAGTATTAGGAAAACTGGAAGAGAACAAACGTGTACGGGCCGCAGATAACATAAATCTTGTCGAAAAGCCCAACGTTGTGATCGCTGTTTCCGATAATCCACCGATGCCACCACTGCCTGTTGACGAATCCCATGGCGTGGATTCGAAAAATGAAGCCCCACCAGAAAAGTCTGAAAGTCTGCCCAAAGAAGAACCCCAACCAGTTGCAGTTGCAAAAGATGCAAAAATAGTTCTCAAGAAAAACTCGACAAGAGCAGAGGATGTGGTTCCAGTGAGTGTGGCTCCCGTGAAGGAGGAAGCTTCACAACCCATGAACATAGCTGCACAGCAGACCATAGATGGAGCAGCCATCAAAAAGGAGGAGGAAATTACGGCCGAGGAGCTAAAGGATAAAATAATGGTAGTCGATTTGCTCAAACAAGAAAAAGAACTTAGAGAGAAAATGGAGAGATTGGGTCGCACTGTAGACAAGCTAAACGAGGAGTTGGCCAAACAAAAGCCACAGAGTGCAGACACAATGAAACTTTTGGAGCGCAGCGTCGACAAGATCAACGATCAATTGGCCAATCAAAGCCCCAATAATCCGAAACCTCTGGCTCTGAATGAACTGGCTGAAGCACTAAATCAGGTCAAAGAAACCAATCGTCTGCAAGATGACAAAATCAAAAGAGAAGAGAAGCCACAGATGGCACCGCAAGAGCAACAACTGCAACCACAACAGCAGGCACAGCCTCCAGCTCAACCACAACAGCAGCCACAACCTCAACCACAACCTCAACCTCAGCCTCAACAGCAACCACAAGCTCAATTACAGCCTCAACAGCAGCCACAACTGAAACTGCAACCGCAACAAGAGGTCAACAACACGCTAAGGGAACGGAAGCCCGCTTCACTGCTGGAAATTCTGACGGAGAACGCTCACGCGCGAGAGGAGCAGGAAGCGCACGCTGGCGTCTTTGAGCCGCTCTCTTACAAAACGGGCGAGCTGCTGCGGAATGCGAGTGGCGATGCACCGCCACTAGCCCAACGGCTGCCACTGCCTTTAGCGCTGCTCGCCAATTCAACCAAGGCTCGAGCTAACAGTAGTGTCTTAGCTGCTGAGCTGATGGCCAACAAATCAATCGATGCTGAAAACGTGGAGGCCATCCGGCGAGAGCTGCTGCAGCTGAAGGAGCAACAGATGACGACGACGGCACAGCCGGCGATACGCGTCAAACGTGACGCCGATGGCAATGAAAACTGTCTTCCCGAACCAAAACTGAACGAAGTGAAGAGCGGCGGCTTGATCGGACTCGCCCTGCAAGTGGAGAATATGGGACGTGAATTGAAGTCCGTTAATGACGATGATCTCGAGAAAACGAGCTCGGTACCCAACACAGAGACAGACACAGACACACACACAGATAGAGATAGAGATGATAAAAGGCTAACTAGTGCGCTGAACTGAACTGCAAGCACTACGTGCATCAGAAGATGATGTAACAAGATGTATAGACAGATGTACAGCTCCAGTCTAATGTTCACAGGGCCAATAAGCTTTATTATTAACTTATTTATATTGAAAGATAATGTATTAATTTAGTATCTAGCAGAAGATGCGCCTATATGCCTAGCAATATATATACATAGTTATATAGAAAACTATTTATATGAATCGATTGCTTCAATTGAAAAAACTAATATTATATTCAAATATAATATATATATATATATATATATATATATATATATATATTAAGAACTGAACGAATATTGTCTTTCTTTATGTAATTCAAATTCTAGGCAGGCTTTGATTTTACATTCATTCGAATTTGTTTCAACGCATTAATTGAAATTTTCTTGGCTATTTGTTAGACTTTTGAAAATATGCGCTGAATTAGTTTAACATTTGGGCTAAATCAATACTAAATCTACATACCTGATCAAGTATCATTTTTAAATGAATTTGCCATACAATGTGCTGTGGGCAAACTTGTTTAATAATTAGTGATTGTTTATTCCAAATGTTAAGCACCAACCCAAATTTCTGATCAAAATTGAGCAGTTTCTATTGGAAATAGAGGTAGCAGCATGTCGATAGTTTTGGATGTTGTTCAAAAGATAGTTTTATATAGCGCCTACGAGCTGACCTGTGCCGCCGCCGCACAAGTTTTATATAAATGCCGCATCGTAAGTGAAACATAAATTGCTTTGGAGCATAAATAATTCGATTCCTATTGATTCCTAGATAAAAGCGTGGAAATTCAAACAAAAATTTAAGACTGCAAAAGCAACGGATAATCGGCGAATGTCCATAGAGGATCGAGATCCGCCCGCAACCCTAGATGGCTGCAATGTGGAGCCCAGGCCCAGCAGCCAGCAGCTGGACTCAGAGTATATCGACTTTGCATTCAAGAATTGTGGGCCCATTTGCCAGCCAAAGACTTCCATGATGCGCATAGCCAGGGACAGCTACTTCTCGTAGACTCGCACATCGAAACAAAAGGCAACTGATCGCATAGATAAAATAACTTTAATAGAGAGTATGGATGATCCACAACTTGGATAACAAATTGAACAACTCGTAACTCCATCCTTTGTAGCAGCTACCATTTAAGTGTGTAATTGGATTACTTTTTTCTTTCTTTTTTTTTTCTTTGTGTATCAATTAGAATAATAGTTTCTCAGCTAACGAGAGATTCGTTGAGTTCGCATTAAGATCATTTGCTTAGCAATCGGCGCCGAGGCTGTGCAGATCGTGCAGCACCTCCAGCACGGTGCCCACGCTCCAGGCCTGCGTGCGGCAGGAGTCGCGGCAGTAGCTGCCATTGTCGTTGGTCAGCTCGGGCAGGCCGCGCCAGTGCGATGTCTGAATCTCGCGCAAATGCGCCCGCAATATGGCCCATGTCTCGGCAATGGTCTCGTCCAGGTAGCCGCACTTCTTCGCAAAGATGAGCCGGGCGCGCAGATAGAAACCGATGGGCCACACCCACTCGGGTCCCTGATGATAGTTGGCGCCATGCGCCACCGTGCAGTCTGTGGAGTCGTTCGAGTTGTCATAATTGGCTCTGTAGTTCCAGTCATCTGGATCCAGGGTCTTCATGCCCAAGGGGCCCAGCAGATGCTTTCGCGCCTGCTCCAGAGCCTTCCAGGCGTTCTTCGGATTACACAGCTCTGGCGCCACTGTCAACGTGATGGGGAAATTGCAGCGCAGCTGGAAGTCGGTCCAGTCCTGCGTGGCGCCATAGCTGTCCTTGTAGATGCACTTCTTGTTGGCCACCGATGTGGTGTCCGTCTCCTTGACATAGAAATACGCATCGAAGTTCTTCTGTATGCGATCCGCCCACTCCTTGTAGCTCCACTTGGTCACCTCGCCCGACGGCCCCTTGCGCTCCACGCCGCTGTGCGGAATAATCTTTCGCTCGCTGAGGCTCTGCATGAAACGCAGTGAGGCGTACTGCAGCCCAATCAGCTCCACGGCGGAGCCATCGCGAGGCGTGCTGGGTCGTCCACGATTGCCCGCCTTCTCGGACGAGCCCATCTTGTCCATCCAGGTGCCGCAGTTGGCGCTGTTGCCGCCAAACACAAAGCCCGTCTCTGGATGCACGCCGATGTGATTGTTGAAGCCCTGATCCGTCATATGAGCGTCTATTTCATGGCCGGCATTACGCTCACGGTACTGCAGGCCCTGGAAGTGCACCTGCAACGCCTCCTGCATGACGTCCTGCAGCAGCTGATCGAAGGCGCCCGGCGGATGCGGCTCAGAATCGTCGTACGGGAAAATACGTGACACCTGGTCCTTGAGTATATTAGCGCCCTGCGGCGCCTCCTCCACGTACTGGGCAATGCTGTAGAGCCACCACCACACAGCGTCGCGGCAGTTGAAGCGCGGCTTCACGCCATTATCCAACAGATTCGGGATCAAGCCATGGCGCATGGCCGACGCAAAGCCAATGATGATAAAACGCGCCTCTGTGAAGCGACCGGTGAGCAGCATTGTGCCACGCAGGGCGATGAACGTGTCCCGACCCCAGCAGCGCATATAACCTACAAGGAAAATTGGAGTATTTAAGTAAAGTAAATAACAGAGAAATCATTTGCGCTCACCTGTGGAGAAGTGAGGTAGACCCGCGGACAGTGTGACGCACTGCTTGGGCGGCTTTGGCGGGGCCAAAGCAAGGCTAAAGCCTGGCAGATTTGCCGAATTGCAGACAGCGAGGAACTGCAGCGTGGACACGGCCAAGGATTGAGTAAAGTTGTGACCATCGCGAATAAAACTGCAATCGAATTGGATATGAATATATACATATTTATATTTTATTCCTATTCCGCACTCACCTGGGCATCAATTGATTCACCTGATTGACCAGAATATTGTAGACACCGCTCACAATGGCATCAAAGTAGCAAGGTATGAGGTAGCGTGGCACATTCTTCAATGGCTCAAAGGTTGCCTTAAACCAGGTGGACAAAGGCTTTAGATCATTAAAGTTGTTCAGGCGATCAGCAATGTAGTCTACATATAAAAACAGTAATAAATATTACTTAAGTTAACCAATCTGAACTCCCGAATTTTAGCTCACCCATCATCCAGTTGCCGTCACGCAAATTGTTGCACAGCGGATGGCCGAGGTCGTCGCGTGGCGAAATCTCCGTCAGCAGGGAGACAAAGCCTTGCAGACCGCAATAGACAATGGGTCCAAAGTTGGGTATGTCGTAGGCGCTGCAGCCCAGGCCCATGTCGCGTTCCTCCTGGTCGCAGCTGAACAGCGCGCGACTCAATGCAGTCAAGTCCAATTTGGAGACAATCGCCTTGAGCTCCTCGCACTGCTCACCCGACACGAGGCGCAGCGCATTTGTGACCTGCTGCAGGCGATCGAAGCTGAGGCGTGCATCGGGACGCATGGAGACGCGAATGGCCACCACAGTGCCCGGACGCAGATTGGCAAAGTTGAGCTGCGTATTGGAGCCATCGGTGTACTGGTTCGTCTCGAAGACCTGCGACTTGCTGAGCGGTATATGCTCCTGCAGCGACAGCTCAAACTGGGTGAAGCCGTTGAGCACGTTGTCTGCCTTCTTGAAAGGCGCTGGACGGTCGAACGGCTTGTCGCTCTTCAATGTCAAGTTGGCTTCGAGTATGATCTCATCCAGGACACCTTCAAAGCGCAGCGGCCGTACATTAGTAGGTCCAGCATTGGGATGCGGATAGCTGAAGGCTGTGTGAGCCACCAGGATGACCGTCTGATGTGTGATGGGCGAGTGACGCGTCACGGCGACCACATTGGGATCCATTTGATCCACATACACCTGGCTGAAGCCCTCCTCTGCCAGCTGGCCGTGCAGCAGATTCAGAGCGCGCTTGGCAGCAATAATACCCGTCTTGAAGTCAACGGCTTTGCCCCACTCCTGATAGGGACGCTCCTCATCGACCACATGAATCTGGGAAGCAATTGGCAAATCTTAGACATTGTATTTCATTAAGTGTTAATCATATTGGGACTCACGTGATGCGGCACCAGCTCGTCGTAGCCGCGGTTGCTGCCGGTGGCACAGCAAGCCATCGCCACCAGCGCCGAGGAGGGCAGCAAATCGTACACGCTTCGCTTCTCAACGGGCGAAGGATTGTCATGTGTTAGATCCATGAACAGAGCATGAGCCACACTGGGCGCCACATCACGATTGGGATTCGCATAGAAGCCGCCCACAGGCGCGCCGCCATAGCGATAGACCAAGCGACCCTGCTCGTGCGAGTCCCAGGCCGAGAGAGCTTCGCGTATCAGCGAGGTAATGCCCAGGCGATTGACGAACACATTGTCGGTGGCATCGGAGTTGGTGAATAGCTCGGCGACGACATACAGCTCCGGATTGATTTTGCGGGCTGCATCCAGCAGATACTCGGCCACATGCAGTGGCGTCGAGTGACAGTTGTCCAGGCGGACACCGTCGAAAATGCGCGCTGTTGTCTCCACGTAGTCCGTCATGTGCTTCCAGAGGTAGGGACTGTCCTCGGGGCGCTTGCCGAAGCGCAACTTCACGCTGTCGCCCCAGGAGATGAGCTCACGCTTGAGATACACGTTTCCACGACCTGGCTGCTCCTCGGCAAAGTCCAGCAGCGGATCCGAAGAGCCCATGACCCAGCCATTGTGGGCCATGAAGAACTCGCCCGCCTTGCCGTACATGTCCGCCTCCACCTCCGTCAGCGTCTTGCCCTCCGTGTTGGTGTGCGTGAAGTAGGTCATGAAGACTGAATGCTTAATCGAGATCTCACGCACACGCGGTCCGTCGTGCTGGACGCGCTCATAGCGCACGCCCGCCAGGCAGTTGTCTATGGCATAGGTGAGGTAGCCTTGGAGCTCGGCACGAACGCGCTCGTTCAGCTCGTCGAGATGGTGGCGCAGCGTCTCGGCGCATTTGCGGAATCGCGACTCCTCATCGAAACAGTCGCCATGAAAAGCATTAAAGATCTCCAATGCCAGCTCAATATTGATTGTGCTACCCAAGCGTCGATATGCCGAGTCCTGTATCAGTTGAATCTCCTGGAATCGCGACTTGTTCGCCACGTTCTTTGGTGGCTCTCGAGTGCGCACCTGGGCCATGAACTCGGTCACATATTTCATCACATCGCACTGATACAGTTCGTGTATATTGACCTTGGGCAGGTAGACATTATGCAATTGGTACTTTAAAGCTTCCAAATGGCACTCCTGATCGATGATGGCCGGCACGCCCACATGCTCCAAGCTGCCCGCGGCTATGTCCGCGCCACACTGCGCCAACATGGCATCCAGCAGGAAAGCTGGACGCAAATAGGGACATGTTGCGCACGAGTATGTCGCATCCGGATGCTTGATCAGCCATTCTGACTCATTGGCGGTGTGATTCAAGACGATGTCACAAATCGAAGCTACCTAAGGATTAGATAGAGGCATTATAATTGAAAGCGAGAAACTGGATTAACTCAAGCACTTACACCCCACTCCTGGCGGCACTTCTTGATAATTTTCTCCACATCCTCAAACGTGACCTTTTCACCCTTCTTCGCCGCAAATTGGGAATTGACGCAGAGCTGATCGCGCAGCGAGTAGCCGGAGCGCGAGCCGCCCAGCTCCTGAATGGGCGTAAAATGGATGACATTGTAGCCAGACTCCTTGGCCACGCGCAGCTTGGCCTCCCACGTGTTCAGCGGGCCCAACAGCTTGGCCATCACCGTCTGACAGCGCACCGAATTGAGGGGTATTATCTTCTGGGCACCCACGGGACCCACATGCAGCGTAGGCTCCACCTGTACATACAAAGCGCCATCCGGCGGAGAGTCCGCCTTGCGTTCCCTGTGAGCAACGAGAGAAATTAGCCAAAATTTATATGATATTCCCTATATATAGAGTACTCACACATCGGCAAAGCTGAAGTAGAATCGGAATGTGCCCGACATGTTCAGGGTTAGCTCACTAAAGATGTCTGTGTCCACGACATGCACATCCGGATGCGCGTCACTGGTGATTTGCTGGCCATCCTTCAGCTGCCAGCCGAGCACACGATATTCCGTGCGAACGAACTTCTTGCCCTCGGCCGGATAGTTGGTGTGGAGCAGGATCTTGCGACCCAGCAGAGCGACATCCGGATGGACGCGCAGCTTGGAGCCGCGTTTCAAGCGGTAAAGCACATGCTCAGCATTTGTGCCCTCCGTAATGGGTATGCTGTGCGAGTCCGTGTCCTTGCTCATGATTAAAACCTGAAAAGAGATTTAAAGGATGTTCCAATATAATAGATGTATATGTATGTAAATGTGTGTGTGTGTGTGTGTGGATGATTGTGTATGAATGTGTGAGTGTTCGTATTCGTGTGTGTACATAGATGATCACAAAGATATGCCCTACTCACTATAGAGAACTGTGCATTGGGCAATCAATTTGATTCGACTCGATTCAATTCAATTCGTTTTCAATGTCACCCCAATAAAACATGATGATCGAGTTGAAATACAAGCTTCATTAAATACAATTGAGTAATGGATATTTAATGAAGATATAAATATTTAAAAATACTAGATAACTTGTTTGAAATACAACAAATACTTTAAGGACATTCTAAGAAATTTTACTCCTATAAACTATATATAGGACTTTAAATTGCAGCTCTGATTGAACTTGAGGCAGGCGCCTGTTCTGGCTATTTATAGAAAATAGATTGATTACGGCGATATAGATTAGAATTACCTAGACACTCACACACAGGCAATCAGTTACAACACCACAGTGGAAGCGACTTTCAAAGAATATATATATTGATATATATATTGAACTTTTTTTTTTTGTAACTAGAGCACGAGGAGCACACGGCACAGACTGAAACTGTCGCTGGGCGGCTGCTTTATTAAGTCTGGGCTATGCTTTTTGCCCGCAGCACTTACATAAATTCTATTTATTAAATATGCACAGGCACACACACACACACAGAGACACAAACACTCGGGCATACACAATAGACACATATGTATACAGTTGGGTTTGTGTATGGCTGTGTGTTTTTGTGTGCTTGTGCATATTTAGTAAATATTATTTACTACATAATTACAATCAGAGATTGAGTAAATACCTCACTGTGGCGCTTTCGTACAGATTCGCTGCGTATGACACCGGAGCCGCTGATGCTACTGCTGCCTGCATTCCCCATAACTCTCGTGGCACTAAGCTTATTCGCACTAATCTTAATCGCCGGCACAACTATTGATTCTGCTGCTGCTGCTGCTGTTGTGTCTGCCTCTTCTTCTTCTTCATCTTCAGCATTCGCCGGCGCCGTTACCTTATCAAAACCCTGCACTGCATGCATTTGCATCGGTGCATTAGTGTGCGGCGTGGTAGTTACTTGTGCATAGTACTCGACGAGCCAGCGAAAGAACTGATAGCCCATTAGGATCTGGATCAGTGCATAGAAATTGCGACGGGTGCTCATGTAGAGCCATCTCAAGCCCTCGACTAGCATTGTGCTATCACGTTATTACGAACTGCAATTGTGAAGCGTTTCTTAATTTTTATATTCCTTTTTTTTTTTGTGTTTTTTCTTTCTTCTTTTTTGCGAGTTTCGCTGTCGACTGCTGACTTAATGCTACTGAACGCTGGCGTTGGCCAAGCCACTTGCAATCTTAAATAAACCATTCTAAAGATTACATACTAAGTAAAAAACGAAAAAATAATTAACAAGTGCGAATACTAATTATGCACACACACACTCGCACACATACACTCGTATTGAGACAGGCGCAAGCTTTGGAATGATTAGCAGATTGCGCAGGAGCTTTTCATCCATTGCTTTTGGTGCATTTCTTAGCACGCAAAGCTTACATGATAACTGTTAATGCTCGTTATCGATTCGAATTCTTAAAAGCATTAAATCATTTTATTAGACCTGAGTCAAAGCACAGCGAAATACAGTGGGTTGTCAAGAAGAAAAACACTATTTTTAACGCTCATGAAACTTTAAACTGTAAACTTTAAGTATTGTAATTAGTTTTTTTTTTTTTTTTAGCAATTAAAATCAATTGCTAAAATATGCACACAAATATATAATACTGCACTTATTATATTTTTAGAAAATATGTATAGAATAGAAGATTTTGGGAAATAAGAACTAGAAGTTTATTTTTTCATATATTTATATAGTTATTGATTATATGAAGGCCACTTTTTAATTTTTTATAATACACATGTCATGCTGATAAAAATAAAACTTTTCAGAAAAGTTCAACTTTATTTCCTTCTTCTATTTTAATTCCCGATTTCGCATGTTGATTTTTGTCATTTCTTTTTAGCTAAATTCTTGATAAACAATTTGTGTAAATTTGTTATAAATAGATCTAGTTATCTGCGTTCATTGACCTACATACATACTTAAGCACTTATCTATTAACATATGTATGTATATACATATTTTTCTATGTAGACTTGAGAGCACTTTTCAGAAACGTTAAAATTGTATTTTTGAGTAACTAACGTCTCTTTCTATTATCAACTATTTGAATTAAGAAAACAAAGCAAATCCTAAGCCCATGTATGCTACTAATGCTCAGCATATGATTCATAATTTATTATAAACACTTAGATAATATTTGTTTGCAGAAAATTCGGTTAGTGCTTCGCTGAATTTGTACAAGCACTTGATGAAATCGAAATTAATTTTTAATTATTTTAATAAATAAATAATATATGAGTCACCAACTATTTTCTTATGATTTTTTCCACCAATAACTGTGATCTGCGGCCGAATAACACTTTACCAGACAATAAATTCCTCAATTCTTTTTTTATTGAGCTCAAGGTGACCTTTCAAGTTTTCGTGCGCGCATCAGCTGCTGCGGCTTGAGAACGTTCGCACCCTCTGTTGCTGGTAAACAAAAATCAGCTGTTCGCAATCGTTTTGTTTTTGTAGCATTTTCCCCCAAGTGGTTACTCAATGCACACACACGCGTATGTTTACTGTTTGTTGTTATGCATGTATGCAATGTGAGTAAGCTGCAACGAATGCTTACTTCAGTGTAAACACATTTACAATTAGCTTTACACTCACACTTTTCATTCGCTATTTCTATTTGCATATATAAATATGCAATTACTTACTCCTATTAGCCAACACTGTGTTATCCAGTAAGCATCAATAAATTAGTAATACATCACGCATTTTTTAGCACTACAGTTTATTTTACAAGTGCATTGCCTAATTTTTTCTAATGCACAGATTAGATACAAAACAGACTGCAGCATTTTGACAAGTAAACAAGAATTGGCTAAGCACACTAAAGTGTGGCATCTAATATCGATAAATGGTCAGTTATCGGAACTGAACTAGTTGAATAATTGGACTCACGCTTGCGTCGATACTCATAACGGTAATGATAGTGCGGTAACTTACCGCCGGTAAGCCGCCAACAAAAAAATACGTTTTGTTATCGTACAAATGTTCAATTTTAAATGAAAAATTTTATTTGGTTGTAAAGATTTTTTTATTAAATTTACTTGTCTTAATTGTCGTATGCATATATTCATGTAGAGCGCATATTAAATTCATAATAGTAAGTGTATATATTCATTCAATTCATTTTCTAGCAATATTAAATTATTACAACGTTAAACAGTGACACGCGTTACACGAACTACAGCCTATTTGTAACTTAATTTAAGTGGCACTAAGTAAAAAGCACATATTGAATCTTCTGTTGTAGTTTTTGTTGTTGTTCTTGCTGCTGGTCGCAGTCATTGCAGTCCTATCATTTGCGCACCGTAAACACCAAAGGCGCCGACTCATCCTCCTGCTGGTCGAGCAGTGTGGTCCTAATAGCACGTATCGACGCACGCTGCTGTGCCTCGATATCCTCGTATTCGATGGACGAGGAGCGCAGCAGCTGAAATTGCGCATTTGAGTCATTTTTGGTTATGATCAGCGAGGCAGGCCGGGGACCTAAGAGAAGGAAAGAAAATGTAATTAATAAAGGAATATGTAAATATTTCATATAAATAGCATTACCTGCTGGCGGCTTGGTGGTTAAGCGCCCCTTGCTGCTGCCCGGCCCACTCGCCAGTTCCACTTGACGCTCCGAGACGTATTCCACCTTTGAGGCATTATTGTTATTGTTATTGTTGATGTTAGCCAAATTGCTGCTGCTGGGCGTTTGTTTGATCGATACGCGCTTCTCCGACTTCACGCTGCCCTGCTGCTTCAATATGGAATCGCGCCGCTGCTGCATTGGCGAGCCGGACGTGAGCAGCGTCGGAGCAAACAAGGCACCGGCACTGGACAAATCGAGGTCTACAAATTTGATAAATGTAAAATTAGAAATGTAGGAAAAGGGGGATTACAGCTAGTGGAAAGTACACAAAGCGAACACAATTAGCAACCAGATGATGCTCGTGACAGATTTATTCTGTTTGATGGAAGACTTGATGGCAGTGCAGAGCTCCTTTTCCACGATGTATATATATCTATGTAGATCTTAAATATAAGTATTTTGTTTTCTTTTACCCAACACCATTGGTTAATAAATATTTACAAGCTAAGCTAAAGTTTGCATGCATTAATCAACGAAATTCAATAGAAAGCAATAAAAGCCACTTTTATTTTGTTTTGTCGAACATAGAAAAATGCGATTGTAAAAAGTTGTTCATATTATTATTATTTATTTAATCTTTCATATTATCAAGTTAAAAAACTCGCTCGTGGAAGCAGCTTTGGTTAGTTGTTCATTTTAATTACGATTGTGTTTTTTTATGGCAACTTAAAACTAATTTTAAATAAACGTGCAGTCGTTTTTGGAATACATTTTGTAAATTATGCAAATACTATAAATCAAAATACTGTATATAGCTAAAAACCTGAACACAAGGTTTTAGAGTTTGGATTAGGTTGTTTATGAACTATTGCCAATTTAACAAAAACATCAACATAAAAAAAAGAAGAAAGAAATATATTAAATTACGTTAAATAGCGTATAAAAGCCATGTCTATGGAAGAATCTTTTAAATAAAATTGCAAAAGCGTTTTCAACTTGTCAACAAGGTTTGATAATGGCACATATATATAGTATATATATAAAGATATATAATATATAGGTAAGTGTATATATGGTTAGACAACTAATTGTTTAGTAAATGTTTCTTAAGAACTATGCCAGACCTAAAGTTACACCAAATACAAGTGTGTTCCTTAATACCTATTTTAATATATATGCTATAATTAATCTTACTCCTATATAGTAGACACATGAATGTACATACATATGTAAGTACATTCGTATGTATAATTATTTCAATTGTTCAGCTTTCGAATCGTTTTCAGTTGTCTTTTACAGGTTCGTTGGTTAGGAAGCTCTTTTGTAATACAGATATGTTTGTTAGTATATGGTAAACATATAGTAGAGGAATTTTATAATTTGGTATCATCGTAAATCTTATCTGAGTTGGGCATCACCACCACCGTTGGCACCTGGGTGTAGGGCGTCATGGGTTCGATCAGCAGCTCATCGGCAATCGACCTTGGACGCGCACCGTGCGCCAAGCCATGCTGATTATAGAACATACTACCAACACCACCAACACCACCTCCACCGCCACCACCCACGTTTATCAAATCGGCGTTACTGCCGCTACTATTGCCATTACCCATACGCATCTGGAGCCCGCCGCCGGCAGCTCCACCAGCGTTCAGACTTTGCAGCGAGTGCGAGCTGGCACTGCGATTGTATTCGTTGTTGTTATTGTTGTTGTTGTTGTTGTTGATGTTGTACTGCAGCAGATTGTGAATCTTCTGCTCGTCGGATGGCGAACCAAACTCGGAAGACTCGCGAATGGGTGCTAATTGCAGCTGTGCGGCAGCAGCTAACATCTCACCTGTGGGCAAACCAGACGGACTGGGTCTCTCACTGCTGGCCACATCCTCGAAAGCCTCCTCATTCAATGTTTGCAATGCGCCGCAAATCATTTGCTCCTCAAGCGTAACCTGCACAAGACAAGATTTCATATTTTAATCATATACATACAATCATTTTGAAGAGGACTCGAAAAAAGTTTGGTTCTGTGAGCTTTTTTACCTGCAGATACTCATAGTCATGGATTTTTGACTATTTCGGTAAGCGTTAGACAGAGACAAAGATAAACACAATTATGTACATGGATGAAGATCCTGTCTGCTTTCAGCTTTATATGTAAAGCTAACCCATTTATTAACTAACCTGTTTCTCCATATGACTGACAGAGTTTCGCCGTGACAGCGAAGGCGCTGGGATTGCCTCGGGCACCTCTCGCATCACGGGCACAGCGGCTGGGGGCTCTGCTATAGAGGGCTGTGGCCGAATCTTGCGTGGCAGGCGTTCCACATCGCGCAGGGTGGTAATAAGCAGTCGAAACAGTTCCCAATGGCCGAAGCTCAGGCCAAGCACCTGCATGGAGTAAATAATTGAATTAAAAATTAGATATATCTGTACACAAAATATATTCCCTGCTATATATATACCGCTTTGAGGTCCGTCAGTTCACAGTGCTTCAGCACGCGGCCGTTGATGGCATTTTCACGCAGCACAGGCGCCAGTTTCGGTAGCGCTGGCTTGAGATCCTCAATGCGTTCCAGCAGGCTGATGACGCCCTCGACGGTGAGGTCCGTGAGCTTTGTTTGTAGTATATCATCCTGTGTAAAGCAATTGGCAAATTATAGTAAAAGTTTTCTCCACCAATTGAATCTCTTTCTTACGCTAAAGGACTCGCTGGGCGATGGTATCAGCGGTGTTGTTGGCTCCATCACACTCAGATGGCGCGAACGCATCTCATTGGCCACAAAGTCGTTCTGCAGCATTTGGTAAGGCGGATAGACCTGGGGGGAAGGCACATAGGTTGTTGGCGGCGGATGTGGGCGCATGCTGTGCGTGATGCTGGGACGTGTTTGCAGCACCAGCGAGCCTTCGTCTTCGATGATTTGTTGATCCTCTGTGACAGCGGGAAATTGATGATTAATGTTCATTACGAATTCATTCAGCAATCACTTACCTTTGAGCACCTTTCTGAGATACGGATCCAGATTGATTGTGAAGGGCAAGAATATGCGCAAATCCGCGACCAATAAATCTGATTTATGCAGCTGCAGAAATGCGTCCAGCTTGCGCTCATCGCGATCCAGCTCGAGCAGAGGTGCCGCCTCACGCAGACAGGCGAGTTTCGGGCGAACTCTGAAAGAGTTCAAGTTAGGTTATTGAGTAATGCATTAATTTCAAGCTTGTCTCACTTACTTTTCATAGACACTCTGCAGCGAGATGTTCTCATCGGCATTGGTGTCCATAAACTGATCGTGATGGAGCACAATCATGCTGGCGCGCAGTGGCCATTGCTCGGTGAGATTTATCCAGGAACTGAGGCGATACCAGCTGAAGTCGATCTGGAATGCTTTGAGTAGACGCACTGTGATGTAGATGACGTTCATCAGGCGGCGCATGCTGCGCGGATTCACATCGCTGAAGTAATCATCGGTGAGCACAATGCGCGACAGATCAAGCACCCCTTGAGGATTCTGGCCCAGTCTATGCAGATTGGAGCCAATCGAGCTGGCCACGGACTCGGACAGACGCAACTTTTTACCACTGCCGCCACCGCGTTGAGTATTGTGCGGCGCACGTAGCTTCTCCTGGCTAGACATTATCTCTGAGGCATTGGACAGACGTCGCGCTGAAACCGAGTGGCCCAGCGAGGGTCCGTCGTCGACTTGGTAGTCTGCGCCGCTCCGTTTGAAGAGCAGCGCCGTCATTTGGGCCCGCTGCACCTTGCGCAGTCCAGAGTTTTGCAGATAAACCGGCAGATGGACCAAGTTACGCAGGAAGTCGTGACCTCCAATGCCGCCCTCGGTGAACAGCCTGCGGCTATTAGCCTCAGCGGCCTTGGCAATCACATGCGGATCCACTGAGATGAGCAGGACGAAGGGACGATTGGGCGAGGAGAGCAGCGTTTGCACAGCATTCAAGAGCGTCAAAATGCGTTCCGTATCACACGAGTCCAGAGCATCGATGACGCCCACCAAGCGACTCTGCTGATTGGTAAACGCATCCAGACACTTGACCATATCCGTCAGCACAGCCACCTCGGCGCCCAGCAGAGTCAGGGGCGCATTCTCGTTGGAGCGCACGGCCCGCTTCAGCTGGCGCTTGTGCGAGATGAACAGCGAGCCACAGACCTTGGCCAGCACATGCAGGTGCGTGCAGATGAGCGTCACTAGCACCGCAGCTATCACATAGACGGCCACCAGAATCTGCTCGCGCTCAACGTCATTGGCGTGCGTGAAGTAGGCAACTATCAGTGCTATGCCCGCCACAAGGGTGATCAGGCCGAGCTCGAAGAGCAGCACAATGGGCAGGCAGCACATGCGACGCCAGCGCCAGCCCACATCCATTTTCAGGCACTTGGGACGAAAGGCACGATACAGACGCGTCGACAGCCAGCCATAATGTGACTCTGCAAAGGCAAATAGAATTCAGTTAATAATATATTTATATATATCACAATATCCGCATCATTAGCTAAGTAACTACGCACCAATGGCATCCAGCAGGGAGGCCAGCATGTGCGCCACGGCGCCGTCGCCCGTGGGCGAGGCACTGCTCGCTTCCGCAAAGTGAAAGCGCACGGGCTTGGGCTGGGAGTCGGCCTGCGGACCGGGCGGATGGCAGAATGTGACCTGCAGTATGAGGCGCAGCCGTGTCATGCGCTTCTCCAGCGCATGCAGCACAGAGTAGGCCCAAAACATGTCCATTTGGTAGTTAAAGTACTTCGTAGCCGCGAGCAGGAGATAAGCCAATACCAAGAAGATAACTGCAGCCAATACGCCCCACAGCACAGACCACGTGCTCAAGCCCACAATTGTTCCGATCAGCAGCGAAATGTGCAGGCAAACCATAAACAGGAGGCTGCCAGTCTTGGTCGGTGGCTCCGCCCACTGCTTGGCAAAGTTGTTCATTTCGTCGCGCAGTTTGTTCAGCAGGAAACTCTTGCCGCTGCCCCACTTGGCGTAGAGGCCGACGGTGATGGGCGTGGTTAGAGTGGGCTCGCTGAGCACATCGGCGAGCGCCGACGAGTACAGCTCATAGCCCAGCATGCCCTCCGAGTCTTCGTTGGTATTGAGGCGTCGCGCACCAAACACTTGACCCAAGATGGTCTTCTGATGCAGCGAGTCAATGTTGTAGGGCGTCTCCCCAGCCTTGTTGGCGCGATACAGCAGCTGGCTGTGCTTGGGATTGCGCAGCAGCGCCTCGACAATGGCCTTGGAACGAGCACGCATCGCTATGTGCAGGCAGGTGTCGCCACGCTTATCGCTGGCCGTCACCTTGGCCTTGCGATCGAGCAGCATGTGAACAATCTCCAGATTGCGGTTGCGAACGGCACGCAATAGCGGCGTATCGCCATCTTTGGTAGAGGACTCCAGGTCGGGATTGGTGAGCAGCAGCAGTTTCACAATTTGTGTGTGGCCCTTCTCCACGGCCGTGTAGATCGCCGTCTTGCGATCCTTGCCTTGGATATCCACATCGGCGTGTTTCTTGAGCAACGCTTCGACCACCGTACGGTGTCCGCCCTTGACGGCATGTATCAGCGGCGTATCTCCACCACGATCCTGGATATTGATGTAGGCGCCAGCAGCTATCAGAGATGCGGCGATATCCTGAAAGCCTTCGCGACTGGCTATGCACAGCGCTGTCATGCCATCCTTGTCGAGGGCATTCACATTTGGCTTCTTCTCCAGCAATGAGGTGACGCAGTCCGTGTGTCCGCCGGCGGCAGCCACCAGCAGGGGCGTCCATGAGTACATGCCGGCGGTGTCCACGTTGGCGCCAGCCTTCACCAGCGTGTCCACGATCTCTACGTTGCCACGACGGCAAGCCCACACCAGAGCCGTGGTGCCATACTTGTCCCCGACATTCACCTTGGCGCCGCGTTGCACCAGCAGCTCCACAATGTCCTTGAAGCCACGGCCCGCCGCCCAGAGCAGCGCTCCCAAATGGTAATTGCCATGGGCATTGCCATCGGCTCCCTTGTCCAGCAGCAGGCGCACCAGATCCGTGTGTCCCCGATATGCAGCCCACATCAGAGCAGTCCAACCGCCCTGCAAGTCTCATCATGAATACCATAATTACTTGAGAGGCTGCATTCGCTTACCATATCGCGATGCTCTATTTCAGCGCCATGATCCAGCAGCAGTTGCACCACATCCAGGTGACCATTGCGCGTGGCGCACAGCAGCGCCGTCCAGTTGTCCAGATCCTCCGCCTGCACATCGGCGCCACGAGCCAAAAACTCACGCACGAACGAGGTCAGACCACGCCCGGCCACGACCATAAGCAGCGTAGTTCCATTCTATAAATGAGGTTGGAGTTTAGGTACAGTTGATAGATATTATATGGATTATCATATATCGCTTACCTCATCGCGATCATCGATGGATAGATGGCGACTATCGAGTATAGCGCGAAGACCGGATATATCATTATTGTCAATGTATTGCAGCACCGCGCGATGTCCGAGCGAACCCATGGAATCTCCGTATCGATTTATATTCTAGACGAAGACGACAAATATTGTAGAGTTAATTATCTATTGGCAATTGCAGAATGTTTTAAATGTTGATTAATCAAACTTCATGCAGTTTTCTTAGTTTTCTTTTATTATTATTTGAATAACTCAATTAAGGGGAGGTCTGGTGGGGCTTGGGGCGGCGGTTCTTGTGTTTTAATTGCGTTACGTTAAAGCAAAACATATTTTAATTAAATATAAATCAACATACAAGATGTGAACACACAAGTCACATGCTCAAATTAGAGGAAGAAGGCTTGTTTGATAAATAGAACACGAACCAACGGAACTACACTCAAAGAAATTTAAGTGCACTAAGTGTATGGGAGTGCCTATAGGGTATATCTAAAGGATATGACATATTTTCGACTTAAACAACACTAAATACAATAACTGAATGTTAAAGTATATGAGGCATTTACATCTTTAGATGAGTTAGCGAAAAAATGTTAAAACGATTTTTAAAATTCCTAATTTTCTTTATATGTTTATTCCAGCCAATCGCTTATACTAAACTGTAAGATTCAAGTGTTTCAAGCTGAATTTATAGCTGGAATCATAGCAATCATTAACAAATAAGTAAATATACATAAAGATCGATTACTTGAATGTCAGAGATAAAATCTCTGATAAGAAGCGCGTATCGTATATTTAAGATCTGCAAATTTAATTGATAAACATGCACTGCGCGTGCGAATACCTTGCGACTGTCAACTTAACTGAAACATGTCAAGTCCATTTCGAACGATTGACGACAACGAGCTGTCAAAATTATTGAGGTGTGGTCTTAGCTAAAAAAAGATATTGATAATGGCGCCTACAAAGACCTAAAAGGATGACGAATTACCGAAGCTAAAATGCCCTTTTTAAAAGGCGTAGATAACAATGATCATTATATTTTCAGCAAGGAATAATTATCTATATAAAATCCTTATATATCAAAATATTCCATTGTCGATAAGATTCTGTTTAAATAAATCTACGTCGCTGACCACATCTACTCCAGGGGTCTTATTTTTGAAGCGAACAATCCTCTGACAGTTCTATGATAAACTTCTTACGTTCCGAAGGCTATATTCCGACTCTACATATGGGAACATTCAGTACATTTAGTTTCACTACTATTTTCATGAATACACTCCATGTAGATCTTGATTTTGATCTAACATTAATATAACAAAATCCCTAATCAAACTATTTCATCTAATTATATATTTATATATCGCACGGTCGTATTATAATGCCTCCTCCTGAAAATTTAAATATTTTTTCTCCTCTTTTATTTAATTTTCACAGAAATTAGATTCTCTATTTGCCTTCGTGGTTTATGATTGCGCCAAAAAAATGAGATTACGAGTATTTACCACTCTAAAATAGGTATCCACTCACGTTTTTGCAGTAGCTTTACTGCCAAAGACGTATCTAAATATTGTATAAATCAGCTAAATTAAACTGACAGCTAAGACCAAATAAAAAATGGGAGCGAATCTAGTTAAAGGAATTACTCGCGATACTAATCAGAATTTATTTTTGTTTTGCTTCACTTTTTTGAAGCGTGAAAATATATTTTATAAATAAATATTTTGTAAACAGTGAAGCGTTAAGGTTTCATCTTAGTAAATGTGTAAGATTATTTTCATTATTATTAACTAGGAATGTTTGTGTGTAAGTACATCTATAGACATAGCTATTAAATAGCGCTAAGTGCTAATACGCATTAAAGCGTCACATATTAATTCGCAAAACAAACATATTTTTAGTATTTTAATTTTTGTTAAGGTTATGATTAAAATTTTAAAACATATATACTGTGTAAATGGAAATAGATTTTTAATTTATATGATAAAGTGTAAAATAAATAAAACGCTTAAATAATAATAATAATAATAAATCTAAAAATGTATTTAAATAATTTTTGTTCATATTCAAATTGTGCATAAAAATTTGTTATTGATTAATTTAGAATTAATAAAAATAAACTGAAAAAAAAAATATATATATATATATATTTATAAAAATAATAATCATAATTAACTAAAAAAAAAAGTTTTAAAGCAGACCAAAATAATATTTATGAAATACAAAAATTTTATAAATAAATACTTTTTGTATTATTACATCAATTTTCAATAAATATGAACCAATATATTCACTTTAGATTTCTTTTTGTTGTATTTTTTGAATTTTAATATTATTTTTGGTAATCTTAAAAATATTATATTTTACTTATATTTATATTTAATTTTAATTCCTATTTATTATTTAATATTATTTATAATAATTTATTTCTCTCTCTAGAAAGTAAACCTAGATTTACGTCACTTGTTGAAAATCAGTTAAATATAGCACGCTTAAATATTTATATTAACTTGTGTGTTTATTAGCTTAGCTGTGTTTTCAGTTATATTTGAATAAATACGAACATTTTTGGCTTTTTTCTTTGTGGGAGAACGTAAGTTGTTTAAGCTTAAACGCGATGCGCTTAAAATTAACTCATCGAAACTTTTGGATAATTTCATTTTGCCGACACTGCAACGCGCGCACGAACTTGGCTTTAGTTGATCTCAAATATTTGTAAACGAAATGTTTTATTTTTATTTATTTAAGACAAGTTCTCTTCACTACAGTTTCTTCTTTTTTTATCAGCTCATGATTTACAGTGCAACGCGCCGCAATTAAGACTAGATACACGTAATTCAGTAACCAAAGCAAGCGACAGTTTTTTTAATTAACTGTAATAAATTGCATTGTATATTTTTATTGTTATATGAATATATATTTAAGCGGTTTCTTATTCTGTTAATAATTATTTATTTGTGTATTTTTTAATTTGTACTATCTCGCAAAGAATGCTTCTGCACGGCACGACGAATTGGCTTTGAATGCGAGCCATGTGCAAGCTGCTGCTGTTATTGGATGGTCGGGCGGTCTGTCGTTTGGTCGTGCTGCTTGGTTAGTCGGGTGTCTGGTGTCGGGTGGTATCGTCGCATGACGTTGTTGTCTCTCGCTTATCAAGCCGAGCCGACCCGACCCGCGCCCCGCTCCGTCCGCTTGCCCAAAAACCCGTCACTGATTACAAATAACAGCAGCACATGTAAGCAGATACTGTCTGGGCCTACAGTTAGAGATCTGTATCTGCGGATGCTCAAATGCGCGCGCGCGCACTATGAAATGCTGTAATTTAGTTTGTTTTTGTTTTCGTTGTTGTTGTTGTTGTTGCCTGCCACTTAAACTTGTTTGCCAATTTGGCTAGAGCAATCAATAGCTGTTGCACATTTGCCGCGCACGCTCTTGCCACAAGCACGCACTGCCACCAACTAACTGGCTAACTGCCCAAATGGCCAACTGGCTAGCTGGCAAGCTGGCTAGCTGGCCGACTGGCTGGCTGGCTGATTTGGCTAAAATGTTGTGCGGGAGATGTGACCAATGACCAGGTGACCAATGACCAATGCTGTTTAGCTGGAATTCTGCTCTTAAGCCTCAGCTTAAGCGCACACTGCCTCAACACTGTCGGACATAAGAAAAAGTTTCTCTTTACTTTACGACTTTGGCATTGCAAAGGCCAACTGCAACCGCACAACTTGGCCGACCAACCTTAGTTGAGTCTCGTTGTTTAGGTATTATTCCATTGCACTCGTTAATTGTTAATCAATTAAATATACATTTTCAATTTCTGCTGGCTCTCGCCCAGTTGGCTTACTCCATTAGTTAATTGAACGAAGCATTTCAGCCAAATTGAATAAACGTAGACAATAAATTCTTTGTGCTGAACCAAGAAATTTGTTATTGTTGTTCGCATGAAAATGGGGATTTTTTTTGCTTTGGCTTTGACGTTGGCTTTGGCTTTGGTCAAGAAAAAAAATCACCGTAAATTTGGGTCAACTGCATATAAATGCAGCTTGATTAATGTTTTTGAAAATTTCCGATTCCAATTAAGTGTAAAATACCTTACACATGTGAAAGCCACACTGATCATTGATTATTGCTGCTGAAAATGCGCTTTAAGAGACTCCAGTTCGCTCCTTTGCAGTGATCGACAGATGAGTGAGTTGCGTAGAGTCAACTCGAACTGCGAGAATCGAGTTTCGGACCCCAGACTAGTTTAAAGCTAATAGATTCTAGTCTATGCTGAAGGTCACTGCAAGCAGTGCAATGAATGGTAGTTAACTCTACTGTTATGTTATTATACTTGCTCAAGAAGTTAAACGAGTATATTGGTGCAGTATCAGAAGAGTTCATTTTGGGTTTTTTACTTGTTCATGAAGTGAAAGTAGTATCTTTAAGCAATATAATGGGAGTTACATTTGGGTATTTATACTGGTTAGCGATTTGAAAAGGGTATAAAGGGTATATTGGTTTGCATGCAGTGCAAATATCAATATTGAAAACAGAGACTAAGAATTCTATAATATTTTCGCTAGTAACGTATCAAATAGAGATACACGATATCTACTATTATTTAAGTTGTTAGAGTCTCATTTAGACAACAATACGCCCATTTTAGGCGTGACACATTGCAATACATCTAGACCCTTACAATTTTATACTGTAAGTAGTTCCTTTTGAGTTTTCTATAAAGTGATTCAATGAGTATTATGCAGTCGGTAACGCCCAACTTGTTTCATGAAAAGTATTAAGAAGTGTAGTAATTAAAGTTTGAATTGAAATTATTAATTACAATACCAATAATAATAAAATGAATATAATTATAATATAATACTAATAATAATATTAATAATAATAATAATAATAATAATAATAATAATAATAATAATAATAATAATAATAATAATAATAATAATAGTAAAAGTAATATAAATAATAATAATAATATAATTTATTTTAATAAATATAATATTCAATATAATATATTCAATATTAATTCTACTTATATTTATAATAATTGTAATACTGCGGATTTCCCACAAATTTTTAGCCATATTTACTTAAAGCTAATACATTATAGTCCCAGAAGTCCATGCGTC